TGAGGATGTCAAAGGACTGGGCAGCATTTCATCCTATTGTGCATAAGGTCATTGTGAGTCAGAACCTAGACGACTGTACCTAATAATGACAAAACATATCTGTCAGTCTGTCATATCGTGTGTATTGTAATGTGTTGCTATGATGCTGGAAGCTATGCCACCTGCATGCCAAATGAAATATCTATGGGAACTACAGGATCATCCTTGATGCACACATTTTGGTCCAGGATACACAGATTAGGAGGAAAGGCCTGGCAGTGTAGTTACAAAAAATTAGCCAAAGAACATCCCACGGATCACAGTAGAATACTGTGCGATATAGTGTTGAAAGTTGAGCCCCTACATTGAAAGTTACCACAACAGTCTTAGCAATGGACTTGAGCATACCAATGATCTTGAAGATGGCATTGGACCAGACAATGTTTTTGTTATGTGGTACATGTGACTATTGTGAATCAAAGATGACTTCAAGGCAACTAACAATAATCTTTTAATCAAGTATAAATTGTGTCTATGTATCATGAACGATGACTTGGCTGGCCTCAGGGGAAAGAGAAAGAGCATTCCTGTGACATTTCTTCAGAGTGTTTTCATAACTTTTTCCCACCTGATTGGACACATTTCAGATTTTAACTCACATCTATGTGAGTAAAAACAGATTTTTACTTACATCTATGAATTATTTATAAAATTTGAAATTGGGCACAGATTGCATAGTGTTTGACATTTTCTTTCCCATTATTTCATGCTTGTTAATTCCACAATAACAGGACCAATATTTGATACTTGGAGTGAACACATTCAGTTTTGATGGTAGCAGAGCCAATATGCATTGCACTCAGAGAGTACTGGCTGCAGCCTTGCATATTCTGTATGTGTCCAGTTTCTCCAGTAAAGGAATTGTGGGTAAGACTAGCATGAAGGATAGAGTTGGGCTAACCATAGTTATGTTAGAGATTACAACCTTCCGTACCAAATTGCCGCTTTCCAGTACTTAGGGGAAGAAGGTAGAAACAATTCTTTCATGAACAATTATCCATTCATAGGTGCCTCTAAGTGTGGCATGTAAGTGTCTGCAAGTGACACTTATTTCTGTTGGTCTATAGGTTGGAAATATAGGTGATATTCAGGACTAAAACTCTAACTACACCTCTCTCCTTAGAGATTATTTCAAGTCTACTTACCCACTTGATTATTTTGCTTAGTAGGTCTAAATTTTGCACTGAAACAAAGTTTAAGAATTATCTCAGCATTCTTGTTGAACAACGTGATTTTTTCTGGTGTGAAAAAAGCTTCTACGGATACATCAGCGATACTCTGTGACCTGAAAGACACAAATGCAAATCAATAGATGATAAACACAGCCAAACTACACATATTACAAATGACCCCCAGTGGCCTAGTGGTTATGATTTGGGCTGCTAACCACAAGGTCAACAGTTCGAATCTACCAATTGCTCCTTGGAAAAAAGATGAGGCATTCTGCTCCCACAAAGATTTACAGCTCCAGAAAGCCCTATACAGGTCACTGAGTCAGAACTGACTTAGTGGCATACAACCAGCCATATAACAACACATATTACAACGCTCACGTAGCCACTCAGTGCCAGCATTGATCTGAAAAATAGCAGATTATTGTTTTCTACTCTCTATAGGCATCCAGCTGTAAGGTGATTTGAACCAAATGCTACTTGGAAACCCTATAAGAGTCACTATGAGTCAGAACTGACTTTACAACACTTTACAACAACAACATCAAAGCACTTTCATAGTCTTTTATATTTGATAGTGACAAGGTTACCGGGGTCATGTAATTTATATTTGTAACTGAATCACTGGTATGTTGTTGATAGGTGCCTTTGAGTCTGTACCAACTCATAGTGACCCTGTGCACAACAGAATGAAACACTGCCTGGAACTACATCAAATTCACGATCATTGCTATGCCTGAACCCATTGCTGCCATCTCACTGAGGGTCTTCCTCTTTTTCTCAGACCCTCCCCTCTACCAAACATAATATCATTCTCAAGGGATTAGTCCCTCCTTTTAATATGTCTGAAGTACAAGAGATGGAGTCTGACCATCCTGGTTTCCAAGGAGCACTCTGGCTGTACTGCTTTGAACACAGATTGGTTTGTTCTTTTGGCAGTCCATGGTACTTTGAATATCTCCCCCAACACCATAGCTACAATGCAATAATTCTTTTACAATCTTCCTTATTCACTGTCCAATTTTCACATGCATACAAGGTTATTGAAAATACCATGGCTTGGATTAGGTACACCTTAGTGTTCAAACTGACATCTTTGATCTTCAACACTTTCAAGAGATCTTGTGCAGCAGATTTGCCTAATGCAATATCCAGTTTGATTCTTTACTGCTGCTTCAATGAGTTTTGATGGCCGATCAGAACAAAATGAAGTCTTTGACAACTTCAATCTTATCTCCATTTATATGGATGTTGCTTATTGGTCAAGTGGTGAGGATTTTTGTTTTATTTGTATTAAGATGCAACCCATACCGAAGGCTGTAGCCTTTGGTCTTTATCAGTAACTATTTTAAGTCATTTTTGCTTTTACCAAGAAAGGTTGTATCATATGCATATCGCAGGTTGTTATGAGTCTTTCTCCAATTCTGATGCCATGTTTTTCTTCATAGAACCCAGCTTCTTGGATTATTTGCTCAGCATACAGGTTGAATAAGTATGGTGAAAGAATACAACCGTGTCGCACACCTTTCTTAATTTTAAACCATTCAGTGTTCCCATGTTCTGTTCGAACAACTACCTCCTGGTCCAGGTACAGATTCCTCATGAGCACAATTAAGTGTTCCAGAATACTCATACTTGGCAATGTTATCCATAGCTTGTCATGATCCACACAGTCGAAAGCCTTTGCATAATCAATCAAGCACAAGTTAAAAAAACAAAACAAAACAAAAACACCTTTATGGTATTCTTTGCTTTCAGCCAAGATCCATTTGATGCCAGCAATGATACCCCTCATTCCATGTCCACTTCAGAATACGGCTTGAACCTCTGGAAGTTCACTGTCAATGTATGGTTTCAGCCATTTCTGTATTATCTTAAGTAAAATTTTATTTGCATGGGTTATCAATTATATCGTGTGATGTTTTCTGTATTCCATTGGAATGGGCACAAATACGGATCTTTGTGTTATTTCTAAAGTATCTTACTCTTAACTGATTCAAATTGAGTTTATCAAGTATATATATTTTCTTCATTTTCAAAACCTTAAATATGATATTTTGCAATAACCAATGCATCTCTTCATTCCAAAGCATAAATGAGATAATATAAAATAATATAATTAAACTCAAAATCACACTAACATTGATGTGTATTTTTCTCTTCTTTATATAGTTTGAAATTTAAGTACATTTTCAACAGAGACAAGTGAATGAATAACTGAGCTTTATTTTCTTGAGGAGCTTTGATTTAAATATTAATTTCTTTCTGATTCCATGTTCTTGCCAGCAGAATACATTTATTTTTGATATCTGAATCCCATATTGTTCCCCTTTTCATCAACTCTTACTGAGGTCAATGAAAAGTCAGCTTAGCCTGACTTGCTATTCACAATAGTGTGATTTACAACCCATCTTGTGGCTGAGTTTCCGTTCAGTTGTGCATGGGGTTGCTATGAGGCAGGGATGACTCATCTGTAACTAACAAAAACCATATATGAAGTTACTTTTGATTTGTGTGGTCTAACTGTTCTGTATTTTCAGTCCACTTCCTTATAGTTGGCTGAGGTAGGGTTATTTGGAAGATGACATTCATAAGGGTTCTAGATATCATGTTAAGGGCTATTTTTGCCATTTCTACACAATTTTGGTGTTCACTATTTAAAGAAAAGAAACATGATTCTAATATTTAATAAATATAATTTTTCTCCCACCAGAAAAAACAAAAACTTATTCCTTCCATTGTGCAAATCATAACACATATAATAATAACACAAATAATGACCTAGTATCTTAATACTTTATGTGGTATTAACCCATGCTAACTGTAACAATCCGTTTTAGATTTTAGCAGGTTCTTCCTAGTTAGCTAGCTAATCTCTGGATCTCACTGACTCACCAGAGTTGAACCACTTGCCCAAAGGCACCAATGGATACGTCTGTGATGGAATCCCCATTTAAATCTCCATAGCCATCCAATGATCTCCCGAAGTACTGGAGAGGACTCCTAAAAGCTCTATCAGATCCCAAGATTTTCTAATAGAATAAATTTGACAGGAAATTAGAGAGTATGCCAGCTGAAACAACAACAACAACAAAAAGTCAGACTCAAAATTGCAATATTATATTCTCAATATAGCCACTTTCAAGGGTTTCTTTATCCCCTGCAAAATCCCACTGCTTTTGAAATGTCTCATTTGATCTGTAATTGTTCTGGCAGCCACACATTCACTAATCAAGCAGCTGGAGTCTGAAATTAAAATCACAAAATAGTGAAAAGACCAGTGAACTGTGAATGACTTGATACAAGTTCAGGTCCGGATTCTTTTCCGAGCTCACTTTCTTTAGGGCTTTACTCAAAAGTCACCCTCTTAATGAGGCCTTATTTGGTCACCCCTTTAACTTCCAGACACTGCCCACCCATGGAATTTCATTCATTGCTTTAGTTCTTTATCCTTAGCATTCATTATTATAAGGAACATTAGATTTTATTATTTCATCGGTTTTCTCCACTAGAATGTAAGGTCCATTAAGGGAAGAATTTTGTTTATTTTGTTCTTTATTGCATCCTTAGAGACTAGAACAGAAGCAGCCACATAATAGAGGCTCTCTTAATATTTGTTGAATGAATTAATAGATTTTTAAAATAAGAGGTTGCACTGGATGGTTTGTCTGATATATACTCTAGCTCCAACTCGGTGATACATACACTTTGTTACATTATTATTAAACTCACAGCTTACCTGAGAATACTTGGTGCGAATGGTGCTCTGCTGACCGTTGTAGATATAGACAGCTCCAGCATTCTGATTCTCTAAAGGTGAACCAACGATTACATCATTAAAGCCATCCATGTTGATGTCTGAGAGAGCTGCAATTGCTGAGCCAAACCGAGCATTTTCAAATCCCTCAGGGCCTTCCAGAAATTGGTGATGATTCAAAATACCCTTTCAAAAGGAAAAAAAAAAAGTGGATTAAAACTAATCCTTACAATTTGTGAAAGTGAAAATGTCCAAACCAACTTGAAAGATGCTAAAAGTGGAGAGTTTTTTAAAACTTTTGAATATAAAATTCTCTATTTATGATAAAAATTATAAATGAAAATTTGAGTAAGTACCATCCTAAGATTTCTGCTTATAAACCAAAGTAAAGGAAGCAATTCTCTTTACTGTAGCTACATAATCTACATAAAGATATCCATTTCTTTGTCTTTGAATATTAGTATGTCTTTATTTGTTTTCAATATTTAAAATTTAAAATTTAAAATTTTAAACCTCAAGGTTAGCAGTTCGAAACTACCAGCTGCTCTGTGGGAGAAAGATGAGGCTTTCTACTCCCGTAAAGATTTACAGCCTCGGAAACCCTGTTCAGGGTCGCTATGGGTTGGAACTGACTCGACGGTACTTAACAACAACAACATTTAGTAATTAAGTATGGAAACACCTCATTACTTCACAAGAAAGCAATGCTCTTCCTTTACAAAGCTGGGCCAATGTTGATCATTTATCCTTTATTATAATCTTACAGAAATATATTTCTTACTGAACTTTGGTAAAGTATTAGGATATCTCCTTTTCTTCAACAATTAACAATAATTCTGAACATAAGACAAAGCAGAAAATGTTGAAGAAACTGTGGCTTTGTGAATTTTTCAAAATGCATTCTCTATATATTCTTTAATTTTTGTTCAATGGTTGAGTTTTACATTGAATAAATCAGGCAGGATAACATATAATATCAAGGCAAACATAAAGCTAAGTATATTAGTGTCAGTTTCTCTTTTTTCAGTCTTTTCTTTCTGTAACCACTGAATTTTCCATGTCAACAGCACTTTTACTGCTGGTTTCCTTTTCTGGGTTCACTGAGGTCATGACGTTCATGTGCATATATTTAGAGTTCAGTCTCCAATTTGAAAAACTATGCTTTTGTGTGTGTGTGTGAAAGTATGCTTTTTTTAAATATGCAAGGACTGGAAATTCCAAGATCTGAACATATATCTAAAGGATACACCAAGCAATGGAATTTCCTGACAAACAAATGTAGAAAGCATATGGGATTATATGGAGATTTCCAAAGTACCTGATCCCATTTGTGTTTTTTAGTATAAAATGATAAGAAAATAGTTTTACCCTATTTTTATCTCATTATATCAGAGATAAATAGTTGCATGAGATATCTTGAAAATGCACACACGTGTTGTGCATATTTCAGAAAGTCATGTGACTGTATTTGTGTAACAATATAAAGACATCACATGAAAAATGGCAGCACATTATACATCTTTTTATGTGATCTTTAAAATTATAACTTAATATAACACCTTCAAACCTTAAGAAATGTAAACCATACCATATGCAAAATAATTATCATTCAGTAATATACTTTTTTTCCAAATGTAGATTAACTCTTATTTATTAGTACTAAAGTAAGTTTAATGAGGTTAGTTTAGTAATTTTGGTTTTTACCTTTGTGATAGTAAACAGGTAGACTCTTCCTTCCTCTTTCTTGAGATCATTCATGTACATTGGTGCACCCACTAAGAGTATGTCTGTGATGGAGTCTCTATTCACATCAACTGAACACAGCACACTGCCAAAATAGGAGCCAATCTGGAATAATAAAATATATTAAATCTTTGGATCTTCAAAATCCATGTGACTTATTATCACAGTGAATGTTTATTAATTCATCAACAAACATTAAATTATTACCACTTGTAGGTTTCTTCCCTGAGATTGTATTATTCTGTAATATTTAGTTCTTAAACCTTAGTGCACACAAGAATCACCAATAAAATGTCTTTAAAATAAAGATTCCTGAGTATAATTTCCAGAGAGTCTGATGCAATGTCTAGGGTACAATCTAGAAAATATGGTTTTCAATAAACACTCCAGGTGCTTCTGCTATTGGTGGTCCAAAATTATACTCAAGAAAAACACAGTAGGCACATGAGGGATGTGTTGTAGAGAAAGGAGAGGCTCATTGGATTGTGTTTCCATTATTAAATAGACTGTAATAATAGCATAAGCTAAGATAAAAATTGAAACAGTTCTTAAGAGAGGACAAGGACCAACCTCTCTGGAAAACAATATGGTGCTTCCTCAGAAGGTTGGATATAGAAATACCTTATAATCCAGCAATTCCTCTACTTGGTATCTACCCACAAGAAATACGAGTCATAACACGAGTAGATATATGCACACCAATGTTCATAGCAGCACTATTTACAATAGCAAAAAGATGGAGACAGCCAAAGTGCCCATTAACTGGAGAATGGATAAACAAACTGCGGTATATACACACAATGGAATATTATGTTACCTTGAAGAACAACAAGGAAGCTGTAAGCTATCACATAACATGGATGAACCTTGAGGACATTATGTTGAGTGAAATTAGTCAGTCACAAAAGGAAAAATACTGTATAGGACCACTAATGTAAAAGACTACGAAAAAGAACCCATACTAAAGGGGAGAAGGGATTCTTTGCTGGTTACCGGGACATGGGGGTAGGGTGAGGGGAGGGAGAGGAATGTGGAGCACAGGGTAGGGAATAGACATAGAATAGCTTGGGTGCTGGAGAGGGAGGCAATATACAAGAAGGGGGAGGGGAATGGAAGAACAAGGCAGATGGGAAAACAATTAAGCAGGTTTGCATAGGCTAAGTGGGATAGAGGTATATAATGATGTATGCACAAACTTGGAACAACAGGACTCTGGGATACAGGGATTGAGACATGGTTGGAACAGGCAAAAGGAGGAAATAATGTCCAGATGCTTGGTTGTCTTTTGAATCTTGGTTTCCCTTGCATACCACTATAAAATAGATACTTGAGGGGGAGAGAAAGGAATAGCTAGAAATATCACCATAGAAAGCTTGTAAGTCTGTCTTCTGCCGCTAACTGATTGAAATACCTAAAATGGAGCTACAACATGCCAAGTGAAGGAGG